AAAAAAAAAAAAAAAAAAAAAACAATGCTTTTATCATGATGTTAGGGGGATTTTCCAATTGACTTTTTTTAGTCACTTCAGATAGGACTGTTTCTAACACTTTACTTTTATCCAAGAAAACCAGAAACCACCTAGGGAGCGTGATTCCCTTTTGCACATAGAAGTGCTTCATTACATTGTGTGAGAAGATGAAGTGGTACCCCGGGCCAGTGTGAGCAAGCACAGACCTGGTAGAAGAGCTCTGAGTGGGCTTTCCTCTTCTCACTTAGCCCTGGGGCACAACAAGGAAGTGCCCTTTTTGCAGTTCTCTTTAAGCAAGAATGATAATTCCTGCCTCTCCAAAATTCTATGAGGAGCAGACTATGGTCTTTGCTCTCATTTTAAAGCTATAGGTTTACAAGGCCACTCGAGCAGCAAATTGAGGATGCTGTCGTGAGGTAAATAGTAAATCAGAGATATGTTTTCCTCAAAATTTTTAGAGCTAGGAAGCAACTTAGACGTCATCTACTCAAAAATCATTTGATCATGAAACACATTTTTCCTGATTCTGCATTGACAGAACTCCAAGCATCCATGGAGTAGAATGTATACTATGACAGTGACCTCACGGATCAACTACTTGCTTGGCAAAATGATGCTGATGAACAAAATGTGGGCCCTAGAGTTAAGTATGTAACTCAAGGTCAGAGACTGGCCGAACTAGAACCCCAGTCTCAGTCACAGTTCAGTGTGCTAGCTCTCAATTACAATACAGCTGTACTCTTTAATGCTTTTTAAAAATTAAAATGCAGTTTCACGGGGCTGGCCTGGTGGTGTAGTGGTTAAGTTCATCCACTCTGTTTCAGTGGCCCGGGTTCACAGGTTTGACTCCTGGGCATGGACCTACGCACCGCTTGTCAAGCCATGCTGTGGCAGGAGTCCCACATATAAAGTAGAGGAAGATGGGCACAGATGTTAGCCCAGGGCCAGTCTTCCTCAGCAAAAAGAGGATTGCCAACAGATGTTAGCTCAGGGCTAATCTTCCTCAACAACAACAACAAAAAAATGCAGTTTCACTAACAGAAAAGGCATCAGTATTTTCAAAAATAATAGTTTAAGCCTTGCCACATTTTTAAAGAATTTTTAAAGTAAATATAAGCATCTAAGTACAATTAAGTAACCTTTTGGCTAATCTTGAATTTAGTACTAACATTTTACCTATTTGGCTTCAAAACTCCCAGTGGCTTTCCAAGGATTCACAATTCCTTCTGTCTTTTTTGTTAGTCTTCTCTCTCAAAGAATCCTAATCCCACTGGGAAAGTACCAAGGAGAGAGCTACCCACTTGCTTCCCTGCTCCTCCTCCATTCCCACAATCTTCTAATTACTCTCCACACAGTGCGAGAAAAGCAGAAGCAGTCCACGGCAGGCAGCTCCCATGACAGCCCCTGGGCCCCTGCGATGAGCGTTTCCTGGAGCACGAGGGAACTGCATGGCCTCTGTGCCCTCTCTCACTGAGCCTTCCTTCTTTCTTCCAGCTCTATCTTCACATGACTGAGTCCTTCAGCCACAGCTCACAGGATTTGCCTATTTGAGACACATTACCTTTTTTTAAAGAGTCCACTATACCATTTTTCACAGAATTTAACTTTTAAAAAACTGAATGTAACAACATTTTAGAATCAGAATTAGCCTGTATACATCAATAACCCTACATTTTGGAAACTTCTTTTTCTATGTTTGGTCATTTTTAATAACTTCTTCTAGATGCCATGCAGAAGAATTCATTAGTATAAATATTTTCCATACAATAAAATGGAAAAACAGTGAAGTGCCTTCCCCATAAAGCTAATTAGACTCAGGCCGTGAGCCCCATTCTCATGAGTCATTGACCGATACTTTCCTAGTGACACCTCTTCCTGACTGGGGCATAAGGCCTCATCACGACAGCTTACCTAAATTTGCAGTAGAAACACTGAATCCCAGGGCAGTGGCAAAATGCTGCCAAGTCCCCAAATGAAAGACCATCAGAAGACCCACTGCTCGTGAGCATCCTCAGAACACTCCCGTCCTGGAGGGGCGCTGCCCTTTAGTCGAGTCCCAGACTCCATGCCCTTGACCCAGAGAGCCTGAAGACTTTGGTGGACTCAGGACTTGAACTTGAACATATGTGCTCATGTAACTTTTTAATTAGTAATTGTTCTTTCCCCTGCCTAACAGATTAATTACACAAAAATCTGTGCAAATTGTGCAAAACTGCGGGAAAATGCCGTGGATTTTGACAAAGAATGCACCTGCTCTATTCCCTTTCACATTCCAGAGACAATGCAGGTAAGTGAAATTCAAGAGCCTCCAATTGGCTATATACTGATCTACTCCTGTTCACTTGGCAGTAAGTTCACGATTTCCACCAAATCCTTCCCGAAACTGGAAATACAAATACAAAGAGTAAAGCAGTGCTGGGCTGCGAGATCTGACGAAGGTGAGTCCATGCGTGACTCTCCCACTCTGTTTTTCCCTTTGGAATTTTATTCTTCTCCTTTGTGTCTAAGTTTCCAGATTCTTTACCTACCCAACTTTGTAACCTAATTCTTAACATCAATCAGATGTTAAGACCTACGGAGAGGACCATAGAGATCGTTGACTCTAACCACTTATTTTATAGTGTGAAAATTAATGGGCTGAGAGGTTAGGTGACTTGGCCAAGGTCACTCAGTGAGTTAGTGTCAGGGGTCACACAGCTGGCGGGACTCTCCTTGGGTCTCCCCAAGTCATTCTACGTATGCAATTACTTAATCCCTAAGGTGACTCTTGGCCTGGTTGTCAGGCACTGTGAGAAATGCCAAAGAAATGTTAAGAGAAGTCCCAGCTCTTGGGCTGATTAAAGTCTCGTGTTAGTCCAGGTCCTCTGAGAAGCAGATGCCAAGACAGGATTAGACATGCAGGAGATTTACTGGGGGGACTGTCTGTGGGGGAAAATGGGGTGGGAGCCGGAGGAAGCAGGGGAAAGCTGTCAGAACACAACACAGCTCTGACCCCTGTGAAGGGGAAGGAAGGGGAGAAGGAAGGAGGGAGGGAGGGAAGGAGAGAGGGAGGAGGGAAGGTCTTAGACGGCAGTGTGTTCTTAAGAAAGCTCCAGCAAGGCAGACAGAGAGTCCCAAAGGAGCCTGTCCCAGCATTCCTGCTGTGCTCAGCCAAGGGCTGGGCATGGCCATGGGAAGCATGGCCTTGAAGCAAACACAGGATGGTCTCAGGCACTGCAGCTGGGGCCACCCCTCAGTGACACTCCCTGCAGCAGGAGATCCCAGAGGTGCCTTTGCAGGGCCTCTTACCTGGCAGTCAAGCTTAATCAAATGAAAAACGTGTTTCCTTCAACTCCCCAAATGTCCTGTCCTGTCCTCTGGACTCAGTACCTCTCCCCCAACAGCGTCCTCCTCCCTGACCTGGTTGGTCCCCCTCCTTCCCCTTCATGGATGACTCTGCATTGGGTGAATCTAAGTACAGACAGGCCTTCTGTGAGCTTCCCATTGAGCATCCCACCTCACGGCCCTGCTTCCACCTCAAACGCAGCTGGTCACAAACCAGACTCACCATCTCCTGAAAAACCCTACTCACTTCCCGTCTGGTGACGATCCCATCACCAAGACTCAAAACTTTCCTCCTTCACTTTACCCTGCCTGCTCCTTTCTCGTCCAAGCTCTGAGGCATGGGCGCTGTCCAATTCTGGTCTCTCCCAACCACCCCTCCCCTCCCTTCTCTTGGCGTTGCCCAGTTCAGGCCCTACTGGTCTAGTTCAGAGCTACCTAACTGCACTTCTAGCCTTTGGCTTCTCCCGGAGAAAGCATTCTTCCAGATTGCTCTTCTACCATCTGAGGCCCAGTTACCTCTTCAACTCTCTCTCTTTGTACTGGGAGAGACCTTGTACTCCTGCCAAACTGGCCAACTTGCTTTTCCATGGTACAACTCTCTATGTTCCTGCTGTTCTTTCACCTAGACAGTCCCTGCTCACTGTCTCCTATAAGATCTTACTTGTTTTAAGCCCCTACTATCCCTAACCATTCCTTGAGCCTCCTTTTCACTCATGTCTCCAGCAAGAATTTGCCCACATTTGTATCCTGGGAGCGCTGTTTCCACTCTTCTGATGGACTTACAATCGCTTGTGTAGTATCCTGTACGTAGACTCATTTCCTCTACTTATAGGAACCTCCCTGAGGATAGGGACCACACTTTCCATGCTACTCCACAACTACCCACGCACAGGTGTCTGCACTACACACTCCACCTTCCCACCTGTTACCGTAGGTGAACTATCCGTGCTCCTATCTGAAGGCTTCTCTCTCCACTTGTGCAGAGATGCCGTCCTTTCTTGCCTTTATAAGAATTTACCTCATCATTCTCGCCTCTTGTATCAGCTTTTCTCTCTACTGGATCATTCCCACCAGCATACAAACATATTATTTTACCTATCTTTAAAAAAGAAAAAAACACTCTTCTATTCACCCAATTTCCCTGCGGGCTATTTGCTCATTTCTTTCCCCCCATTAGCAGGAAAACTCCTCAAAAGAGTTGTCTATCCCTGCTATTTCCAATTCCTCTCTTCTCATTCTCTCTCAAACCCACTCCAATCAGGCTTTTCCCCCAACACTCAGTGACTCACACGTGGATAAGTCCAGCAGTGAGTCCTTCGTGCCTTGTCTCCCACTGCACGTAGGTGGTCGCCCCGTCATCCCTGACACACTTTCTTCTCTGGCTCTCAGGAATCACACAATCCTGGATTCCCCCCCATCTCTCAGGCTGCCCTTCTCTGCTTCCTGTGCCGTTAGTCCTCTTTTCCCCAGACTCTTTGTGTTGAGATCTGCAGGACTTAAGTTTTAGTCTTTGGTCTTCTTTTCCTCTCTGTATGCACTCACTTCCTTGGAAGCGGCGTCTGCCCCCTGGCTTTAAATGCCATCTCCTGACAACCTTCTGTTTTATATCTCTAGCCCAAACCTCTCTTCCAGCATCCACGCTTGAATTTCCAACTGCCTTCCTGATGTCACCATTTGGGTGTCTAATAGCTATCTGAAGCTCAACATTTCCAAAACTGAACTCCTGATATCCACTTCTCCCCCTTGCAACCCTCTCCCCGAAAAAACTCTATTCCACCTGCAGACTTCTCAATCTCAGCTGAAAACAAGTCCATCCTTTTGGTGCTCTGGCCAACAGCCTAGGAGTCATTCTCTACTCCTTTCCTTCTATCACAGCTCACATCCAATCCATCCTGTTGGCTCTACCTTCAAAATATACCAGAGTCTGCCCACTTCTCCCCACCTCACCAAGCCACGTTCACCTCTCACCTGGATTCCTGCAGTAGCCTCCTGTCAGGTCTCCCTGCTCATATCCATGTCTCAACAGAGCAGCCAGAGTGAACTTTTTAAAGAATAAGTCATACCATGTTATTCCTTTGCTCAGAAAATCCCTGCAACCGCTCCTCTTTCCACTCAGTGAAAACGCCTATGCCCTTGCAAGGCCTTACAGGATCTGGCTTCCTATTTCTTCTCTGACTTGATCCCTCCATTCTCTTCTCCTCACCCCCGCTCCAACCACACTGGACTCCCCGTTCCTCAACAAGTCAGGCATTCTGTTGCCCTGCTGCCTATACCTGATAACTGCTTGACTAACTCCCCTACCTCCTTCAGGTTTTGGCTCATTCCCACCTCAATAAGGCCTGCACTGGCCATCCTGTTTCATGCTACAACCTGTCTACTCGCCCACCCTGCACTACCGATCCTTGTTACCTGCTGGAATTTCAGTTTTTCCATAGTGCTCACCACCTTCTAACATACTGTGTAAATTAAGGGTTTATTATATGCATTATTTATTGTCTGTCTCTCACTGTTGTATCCCAAGACCTATAACAATGCCTGGCACACCATAGGTGCTCAATTAATGTTTACTGTATGAACATATGAGTCTTTGCTTCCTACATGGTGCACAGCACAGTATATCACATGGTAGGTGCTCAGAAATTGTTTGCTGGGACCGGCCCGGTGGCGCAAGCGGTTAAGTGCGCACACTCCGCTGCGGCGGGCCAGGGTTCGCACGCCCAGATCCCTGGCGCGCACCAACACACCGCTTGGTAAGCCACGTTGTGGCAGCATCCCATATAAAGTAGAGGAAGATGGGCACAGATGTTAGCTCAGGGCCACTCTTCCTCAAGAAGAAAAAGGGAGGATTGGCATTGGATGTTAGCTCAGGGCTAGTCCCCCTCACCAAAAAAAAAAAAAAAAAATTGTTTGCTGAAAGATTAAATGAAGAAGGGAAAGATAAAGTGCTCAATTATATGGCTTCATGCTCTAGGAAGCTCTGGATTTATGTCTCTTTTTCTTATTTCCCCTTTGATCCGAGACGAAAGCATGTTGGCATCAGTAATATTCTGAATACATCTGTACTGATTATGGCTAGTGCTAATCCTTATATCTGAATGAGTCAGGTATAAATTATAAGGAAGCTACTGAGTTGTACTTGGGTTGTAAGTGAAATCTATACAAAGTCAGTGGGGGAGGTTTTATGTATGTGTTCTTTTATTGTAGGTCAAAATTCTAGTTCTCTGCAGCTGTGCCCTTTCTTGCCTTCCTCATCTCACCATGCTGCCCCCCAAAGTAAAAGTTAGTGTTACTTAATTTTTTTTGGCTTAAAACAACAGAAATTTATTCTCTCACAGTTCTGGAGTCAGAAGTCTGAAATCAAGGTGTAGGCAGGGTTGGTTCTTTCTTGGAGGCTCAGAGTGCTTCAATTTTTGAAGAAAAAATCCAAAAGATAAAATCTTAAAGGGCTTCAGTTCCCATCTGTCTGTGCCCTTTGATACCCTAACAGCAAATGAAGTGTTACCAGCTGGTAACCATTCCTTTCAGGCAAAGGCTTTCTTGTAAAACTCCAACCAAACCGCTCAAGGCAGCCCCAGGGCCTTCGGCTCGCCGGTCAGCACACATAACATGTGCTGGACGACAAGTCAAGGCGAGACTCTGCCTGCACACAGTGCCACTGAATTGAGAGAGAAGGAACACCACCAAGGGCATGATGCCTCCAGGAGTCTTCAGAAAGATGATAATCCTGGAGGCCTTATTCAGCTAAATCTTGGACAAAGAATCACTGAAAAGAGGTTGTTAAAACACTCCGGTCCCTGGTGTGGCGAGTGTTCTCTGCCTGTTTATTGTCATTTATATGAATAGATAACTTCGGGTAAGTAGAGTTCTCTTTTTAGCTTCCAAGAAAATGTGTGGTAAATTCCAGTCCACGGATTTCCTATTTTCTATAGTTAAGTGTCAACCGTAGAGCTTCCCTCTGTGGGTGAGGAAGTGTAATCAGTCGTCCTGCTGTGCCCGGCTTGTTGGTGTTCACACCCATGCTCTCCGTTGGTGATGCTGCAGCCTGCCTCTTTGTCATGGCCCAGCGTCTCCCCCTCTCAGTGTTCCAGAGGCTGTTCTCTTACAAGGGACTCATGTCTTTAGTTTATTGTTTTCTGTAACTGGCCACTCTTACCATGACCGTTATTTCCAGCTCCCATTTTCCAAACTCATCCTCTTAAATGTCCTTAGAGTGAAGCCAAAGCCTTTCCAAAATGCTGGCTTTGGATAGCATAAGAAAATCAATTGACTCGGGGAATTGTAAAGGAATACTTATGTATTTCTAGCACTGAGTATAGCCCCTAACACATGGAAGGCACTTAATAAAAGTTAGGCCTTCGTATTTCTGGACGCAGGCCTTCATTATTTTGGAGGTAAGTAGTATGTTAATTATAAACAGCTACATTGGACATTTCTATTTGCATGATATGTGCTGTTAGTAAAATCTGTATCAAGTCTGCCTGGAGAATTTCCAGGGCCTTGGTATGTCACGGGAGAGGTAGAGCGTGATGGTAGCCTGTGATTGGCAGCCTCATAGAGTGGCATACACGAAAAGGCGCGTCTCTCATGGCAACAGGGCCACTTATTGCTAAGGCGAATATCACCTTTCTTTGGTATCAGTGAATTATTCCATCTTTTTGTCCATAACAAGTGGCTCACCATTTCTTGAGCAATTACCTTGTGCCAGGTGCTGTGCTAGATCCCAGGGATGAAAGACAAAGCACCTGGAGCTGGCCTGCAAGCAGCTGGTCTCACGCCTGTCCCGTGCCCAGTGTGCACAGGCGACTGGACATGGTCAAGGGCTCCAATTTTAAATGACGTGTCGTGGATTTGCTTTGAGGTCACAGGACTTTTGATGCCTACTACTACCCCTAAGCAAAGCATTTTTCCTAGTTTTGCTTGGAAATAGCAATATTTGTAAAATCGAATTTTGTATATCGAAAATACAAAGTCTAGTTATAAAAAAATTTCAAGGCAGGAGCACAGTAGCACTTACAAAAATATTAAAAATAAGTTATTTAGTCATTTAAATAATTCTGTATAGAATAGGATTTTTCAACATGTAATTTTTAAAAATGATTTCTTGGGTTTCTGTTTGAAATAAAGAAACTTTCAATTTTTTCTGTACTACTTTTTATATTTAAAAAATGCTGTCCATGTTTATTAATACTCCAGTTAGTTTTTCTTACTCTCTTCTTACTTCTTGCTTTTCTCCCATACAGGGTAATGTTTATATGTACTACAAATTGTATGGCTTCTATCAGAACCTCTATGGATATATTCTATCCAGAAGTAATAGCCAACTGCTGGGTACAGATGTAAAGGTAAGGCTTTATTTCATTTGGTATAATACTTTTTTTTTTTAAACCAGGTAGATCTTTCAGTCTAAAAGAGGGTATAAAAATAAACTCAGAAGTTAAGGTTTTACAAGACAGAAATGCTCATTGCATTCTTGCATAAATTGAAGGGCTGGTATTCAGGATGACTGCTGTTGAGAACGGGCACTTTCCCTCCAGAGCAGGAGTGTGAATCTCCTCCAACTAAAGGTTAGCCTTCCATGCTCCACCCACTTAGAGTGTAACCTTGAGTGTCTGGTCTCAGTCTGGCTCACTCTATATCTACCAGTGTCCTTCCTATAATTGAGGCTTTCAGTCCAGCCAAACTGAAGGAAGTTGAGCTCTACTTGATTGAATAAAAGCCTTTGGTTTAATGGACTATCCTTTTAGACCTAGGATTATAAAATTTTACTCTTGATAGATGATACTCAGCATGCTAGCAAGAAAAGCTAGAAGGAAACCTTTTCCACACTGACATTAGTATATGAAGTGATAACCAAGTGATTTTTAGCAACCACCCTTTTAAAAATATATTCTGGTAGTTTGGTGGGTGAATTCCCTGTGATAAGTCATCTAGCTCTAGACTCACAATTTGTATACTTTTTGGAATATGTTACACTTCAATAAAAAAATCTTTTAAAAATGTATTCCATTGTAGGCTTAGTGTGATATTTAGCACAGCCAGCAAGATAAAGTTCCTTGCTGCAGACATATTTGGTATGCAATGTTTTGTTAATGAGGAAAAAAACTACACACACACACACACACACACATACACACACACATCTCCAAAACACAAAAATTCCTAGTCTAAGTGAGCCAGAAACCTGGGACAAACAGGTAGCAGTCCGTAATCTTGGTCTGTGCCAATAAGTCAATGTGGGTAGATTTACGTTGCCAGTGTTCTCACTTTCAGCATTCTAAGAGAGTTTACCAAAACCACTTCTCATTCCTGTGTCGCCTTGCATCCAGGATGTTGGAAGCTGTGCTCCGTTCAGAGAGTCCCACAATGGGACCCCCATCGCTCCTTGCGGTGCTATCGCCAACAGCATATTCAATGGTAGGTGACGTTTCCTGTCTCCATCATGTACCCTTTCGTATGTGTGTGACCACCTAAATGTCCAGAAGATCTACAGCTGAGTGACAGTTTTTAAAAAAATTTCATTTACATTGTCCACTGACTTAAGGTATTTCATTTGCAAATAAGTTCTCCCATACCAGAGATTTGAAGTAGTTAAGGAACATGAGTTAAATGGAGCTTAAAAGTATTTTTCAATAATTGGGGCCTTGGCAAGAAGAACAGTCTTGTGGTTCCAGCTTCTATGGCATGGAGGCCTGTTGAGAGGCTGCTAAAACTCAGGTTTATTTTTCAGCTGTGTCTGGTTCTGCACTTCAAAGGGTAGCACAAATGCTTGCTTGCGTCTGTAACACAATTTCTAATTTCCTTACAGACACCATTATTCTTTCATACAACCTTAATTCATCTATACATATCAAAGTCCCAATGCTAAGGAGTGGAATTACATGGTGGACAGATAAGTATGTCAAGTTTCGGAATCCCAGTTCCAATAATCTTTCTAGTGCATTTGCAGGTAAGAGCCATACATTAGCTCAGTATTCTTATCTGTTTATGGAAACTTTGGTTCTTATATGTGGGGGATGTTTATGATTCCTCCTTCTTGACTTCTTTGTTGACTTCCTCTTTGTTCCAACTTTCCCTACCTGTGGGCACCTCCACCACATACTGATCAGAAGCATGAAATGATTGGTGCCCTTGTTCCTTCCAACTTACTATTAGGAAAAAGGCACTGTTTTAAGAAAGTTGTTGCTTCATCTATAATTAGGGTGACCATGTAATTTTATGATCCACACTGGTGCACTTCTGAGAGTGAAAGAGGGCAGTAGAATAACTAAAGTCATATATTTATTTGAAAATTTCATTTATTGATCAGTAAATAGACATTACCATATTGGAGGACCTATAAAATAATTCTATTACAAACTATTTTAAAAATGCAGTTTTTTCAAAAATTAAGATAATATATCTGTGTACATTAAGCCAACTTTTTAAGAAAACTACTTTATTATCTAAACATTAAAAAATAACATAAGCAGAAAAATTATTCTGGATACATAGTCACATACTTTAATCAGTTTCTTGGCCCTATTTGTCTTCATTACATGCCCTGTATTTTTTTTGTGGATTTGTTTTGTTTAATTTTTTAAAAAATATTTTATTAAAATATTATTTTTAATTTTTTCACAAAATTGTCTGCAATCTTTTTTGAAGTTGCATTTTATGGTTACTCAGCTTGAAATTGTTGACACCTTTAATTGATTCTTCTCTTTTGACTTTAATGTTTTTTTTAATTGAGAAAATATCTATAGGTGCTGAGATACCTGTTATGCTCACAGCTAATTTTACTAAATGGAGGATATTCTCATTTTCCATTTTTTTGTATTGAAATATGCTAGTATTATAACCCAAATGTTTTTATAGGCACTGTCTTTTTTACTTCACATGTTTTTATTTATGATTCTTTTGAATGTTTTACTAAATTTAGGTGCTACAAATCTTAGACTTTCTTCATTTCATTTAATTCTGGTAGAGAAGAAAATTTTATCCAATTAAAAATAGGAGCTCCAGGGCCAGCCCAGTGGTGTAGTGGTTAACTTCACGTGCTCTGCTTCAGCAGCCTGGGGTTCATTTGTTCAGATCCCAGGTGTGCACCTACACACCGCTCATCAAGCCATGCTGTGGTGCCGTCCCACATACAGAGTAGAGGAATATTGGCAACAGATGTCAGCTCAGGGCCAATCTTCCTTGCCAAAAAAAAAAATAAAAGAAAAGAACATAGGAGCTCCATCAAAAGAGTTTTCACATAAATTGAGATATTCCAAACTATAATTATAGAATTTAAAAATTAAATCTTGTTCACATATTGAACTCTCATTATGTGATATGTTCAATTATTCTCTTCCTTTTAGGGGGGTAAATTTCGATATCTTCTTGTTTGCAAGCTTGGTTTTCAATAATTACAATTCACTAAATCTTCAAAAACTAAATTTTTTTTGGAATTTCAGATACTTCATTTAAAATTTTCAACTATTTTGAACAAAATTCAGCCAAAAGTTAGAGAACTAATTTACAAAAAAAGTTCAGGATCATTATAGGACATATCATTTGATATACAAAATAATTCTTTAAAGGCTCAAATATTTCTAAAATTCTGGTTGATGATGCGTAGCAAAGACAGACCACATAGACCGCCACGCTAGAGCATTTGTTTAACATTCATGTTGCCATAAAAATTTTGCAGCTGAGTTTCTCTGGGAATATGCAAGAATATTTAAATTTGCACAACTATAGCTCTTCTTTTGATTAATAAAATACTGTATCTTGTTTGGATACGATTGTGAATTATGTATATACCACAACCAATTTTAAGTACATTTATCTATTTACTAAGAACATTATCTTTACTCTGATGTTGTGTTCCACCAAATAAATTTATTTTATCACTGCAAAACCAAAAAATTTACACTTGATTGTTGAATTTTTTAACTGAATTTATAGTAATATTTATAATAATGTCAGAGGTTTTATCTTCCAAAATTGAATATCAAAAAGCTTTGCTTGGATTCCATGAAGAATCAAACCAAAAAATCAAACCATTATTATAATTAACTTATCTGATTTTTCTATTTGAAGCTTCTAAAGACACTGATGTAAACTGGCCTCATTTAACTGTTTACAAAATTCTTTTTGTGCTAATGAAGCCAACCCATTAAAGCTTTCCTTTGGTTACACAAACAAAAAAAAATTTCCTAATAAAAAAGTGAAACTAGAAGGAAACTCATTTGATCTAAATGAAAAGTCATGCTCGCATAATGATATATAAATGGACCTTCCTTAGCTACACAAGGTAAAGCATCATCTTTGGATACACTCTTTTAAAAATAACCACAAACTTTTGAATTAGATTCTGATATTCTTCAGCAGATTTATGTCTTATGATTTTCACACGGTCATTGACATTACAATGGTTCCCATGGTGGGGGGTAAATGTCAACCAACATTGCAAGTATCACATTCATCAACTTTCTTGAGACACCGCACTTAATCTTACATTAAACATACATATTCCATTTTTTAGCTCTTCACAGCTAAAAGGACTTACTAGCAAATAAACTAATAGGAAACAATAAAATAGTTATGTGTTTATACCATATAATAATTAACTAAATCAGTGTTGCAAGAGAGTTCAAACTACTCTCAGAAGACCACTCAGCATCTATTTCCCACCCTACGTCATGTACATACAACATGACCTATAATTTCCCACACTTCCCACTGACCTGTAGCCTGGCAGCTTCATGCATCTCACAGGCCAAGACAGAGGCCAGGGCCTAACGGGTTGGAATGTCAAGCAGCTGGCAGGGTCACAGAGATATGTTATGTTTTGACTGAAAGGGTCTCTGGTCATCTTTCATTAAGCACGTGTTAAAGTAAGCCCTCCATTCACTGCACATGAGTATCTCACACACTGCTAGCTAAGACCATGGCTGCAGGCAGGAAGGATGAAATTATATGTACACGGTTTGTTTGGGATAAATGCTAAATCGGATGGGATAATAGACAACAGACATTAACTGGGACTGTCTTAGGCAAACTGGCATGTATGGTCACTGTATCTATAACTGAATTCCTAGTTTTTGAAAGGAACTTGGCAACATTCTATTGTTTTGTCTTACCACATAACCACAGGCCTGTAACACAAAGGTCCTCAGCTTTCTCTCATCTCCCGCTGCACTTTGTTCTTACCTCTATTGTAAAAGTTAACAATTATACTGTAATTATCTGTTTAAATACCTGTCATCCCCACTTCAGTCTGAATTCCTTGAGGAAAGGGATTAGATCTTAGCAGTTTTGTATTCTTGGTGCTTGATACATAGTGAGCAATCAAGAAATGCTTGTTGTTGAATGCATGGATGAATACATACAACCCAACTGAACTTGGAAAATGAAGGACGTGGGTGTCTCTTAGACCACACTTCTCTTACCCTCTGAAGACATGGGATGGGGTGGGATTGGGGGTGGGTAAGGGAGGGCATGCTTGAGCTTGCATTTTTAACAAGCTCCCTGGGTGACTGGATGTCCATGGCCCGTAGGACACACTGCCTTCGGGCATGAGCTCTGGCTGAAGGAGAGAGGGGTGAGCTCCACAGGGCAGGCACCAGACGCAATTTCAATTTTTATCAAAATTCTTCTTGCAACAGAATTGAAGTCTTGGGAAGGGCCAAAATAGGTGAGCTCCACGATATCTGCAGGGGAAGTTTGTCCAGCAAAGGTTTATTTACAGAGGCACTATGAGTGTAGAGACATGCTTCAGCAGATTAATCCAACCAAACTCAGCCCATGCTTAGAAAGCAGGACTGGGGCTCTTGTGGGAGAAAACAGTTTAGTCAGTAGTCAGAGCTGAGGAAGAATGGGTCCCTCTTTAGCATTTTGAATCCTACTAATAATAGAACCAGTTTTATGGAAGTAAAAACTTCAATGAACAATTTCCTCTTATAGTTTAGCTCTTTAAAATTCAATATGGTTTTTATTATCAACTCCTGTCAGCTTTCATTGGAATCCCTCACCCCTTTATCAAGCATTTCCTGAACACCCTACTATGTGCTAGGCAGTAAGTGCCAGTGACTAAAAGATGAGGAAGACATAGTCCTCAAGAGTCTGCTGTAGAGTTGGGGACCGCAGTAAAGAACAAGGGTAAACCCAGCAGGCTCATCTCCCACACGGGCCCCCCACCCAGTGCTCCCAGCATCCTACAGCACGCGCACCTCCAGGCTTCCTGGCTGCAGATCAGGCCTGCAACGCCTTTGTTCTGCACCTCCTCCCGTGTACCAATTCCTCCTCCTTGCTTCCAGCTTTGTGCACTCAGGGACAGTGCTGTGGAGGAGATCTAGGTAACACAGTCTTCCCGTACTTCTGTGATTATTTCCTTAGATTACATTCCTAGAAGTTGAATTTCTGGGCCCAAATGTATGCAAAATATATTAAAGCTTTTGATGCATGTTCCTAGATTGCCAGAGATGATGTTAATCCACACGTCTATCTGCTCTGCACAAGAGTTCCCATTTCCACTGCCTCGTCTATGGTTGTCATTCTTTTTTCTTTAAATAAATAGTAACCAACTTTTAGATGAAATGGTATCTTGTTTTAATTTGCTCTCTTTAGTTGATTAGCGAAGTTAAAGAAAATAAAGGCAGTCCCTATGATGCTATCACTGAATACAATCACTATTATCATTTTCTTCTACCTCTGTTTTCAATGCTTTATATGCAGTTAACATAGTTGAACACATACTATACATGTAATTTGATATTCTGCTCTATTTTTTAACCGTATGAAAGTGTCATCAGCATTTTCCCCCACATTTCCTTAGAGTCTTTGTAACCATTATTTTTCATGGTTGCATACTCAGGTAGCTTACACACACACACACACACACACTTTTTTTTAAAGTTTAATTTCTATTCTCTTTCCTCAAGAATGCAAAAGTTATTTCATTCTCTACATTCTAAGGAAAACTGAAGAGGGTAGATAATTTTTCTCAACCACATCCATTATTTTCTTCCCACAGGAACCACAAAGCCTCCATACTGGCCTAAGCCTGTCTACGAACTGGATGAAGAGGATCCAGGGAACAATGGCTTCATCAACGATGACTTCATCGTGTGGATGCGGACGGCTGCCTTTCCCACTTTCAAAAAACTGTATCGTCGACTCAGTCGAACACAGCGTTTTATTGAAGGTTTGCCTGCTGGTAATTATAGTTTCAACATAACCTACAGTATCCTTTTATACCACTTTTCTTTCTGGCGATGAAGGAAAATCAGTGTCCCTCTGGATACTAGCTGTTGTCTTATTTCATTCTATACTTTTCTATTCTCCAGTCAAATATATATATATATAAAAGAAATACACAGTTCTCATATAGGTAATACTGTCACTCCATCCCCATATAACTGTGTGTCTCCACTTTGTATCATCAAATGTGTACTATTTTTTTAGGAATAACAGTTAATATCAGGTAAGTAGGTATGGATAGGTAGGGAAGGAATATTTCTGTCCCCTTGAAAGATAAATAACCCTGGGTCTAGAGATCTAAAACAGTGAGGAGAAGCCTGCCGTATGGGATGGAATGAAATGGAGGACCACAGAAACAAAGAGAGAGAGATTTCATAAGAAGTACATTTGTAATATGGACTAAAAATAACTAATCCTGAGAGAGACTGTAGAGCCTTTGATGCTAGGCAGAAGTAACCTAGACCAAGGGAGCCCTGGCCTCGAGGTGCAGGGCCAGCTCATCCTCCCCCACCAGGAGTGCCGAAGATTCTCTGTCCTCCCCTCTCTCTCGAAGGGTGTGGAGCCAGCTGGGAGGAGTCAGTGCCTTGGTTATGGACGTACTGTCCGAGTTAGGAGACATATGCTTTAATAGGAGATTCTCAATTTTTTCACTTAATCTAAAAATACAAATGTAACTCTTGATTTAAAAATGAAAGGACTTAACTTCAAAATGGCACCAAACACTATCTTTAAAAAATTATATATTTAAAACGCAGTTTACACTACTTCTGGTCTTCAGACTTAATTTTAAAGTCTCTTCCTCATTCTCCCTGAGGCAGAATTCTCTTGGCGGGAGGATCTTTCCAGTTCTTGTACACAGCTTTGAGACGTCAGCCCAAGTAGGCATCAGCACCCCCGAAGCATCTCAGAGCTACTGGCTAGGAGTTCACGGGACCCCAGCAGGCCAGAGAATCTTCATGCAGAACTGTCAACCGCCTGAGTTTCTTTACCTCTCAGGAGCTTGAACGAGAATCTCCTGGGGATAAGTTAATAACTCCTGTGTTCCAGTCCCCTGCTCCATGTTTCCATCCTAGAACAGAGTGTGGACATCTGCATTCTGACAAGGGAGCGGGGACGTGCCTCAGTCAGAGATGCCCCCGCCATGTGACACCATCTCTGCCTCTCAGCCTGTTGCCTCCTTTTGTTCACTGACCAGGAGGACAGTTTCTCTCCAGTTCATTTGTTTAGCGCGGTCTCTAATTCTATTCTATGAAAATGAAAGCCACAAATTTCTCTCTCTTATGCAGCATTATAAGTACAGATCAAAGAGTAAGCCAGACTGTTACCTTCTAAATAAGATTTCAGCAACCTTCTCTCCCCACTAAAAGAGTTTGGGATTGAAAGTTGCTTGACAGTGCTCCTCGAGTTGGACCTCTGATCCCATCAGCCCTGTCTGTGATTGCTGTACAAGTGAGGCAGTTACAGTTGCCATCCAGAAACGCAAACAGCCCAGCACATACTGCTCCCCTCACGAGGCAGGACAGTCAGTTTGGGGCTGAGGGGAAGAGGAAGGGAGTCCGTGTTCCAGACAAAGAAGACACTCCATTTCTCCCCTGGAGACAGGCTTTCCTTGGGTGACTCCTTTCACAGTCATATCTGCATGCTGATGACTCCCCAGTCTAAATCTTCCAGGAGAACCTCAGTCCTGAGCATCAGTCCTAGGCTGGTGCTGCTGTGTTGAGCCCTGGTGTGAGTGTTACCCACCCGGCCTCATCGCCTGGCTGATACACAAGGAGAACTGAGCCTGAGCTGTGGGAACTGCCTACCACGTCTAAGGGAGAAAAGATGCTCTCGGTGTGAGGAAAAGACCCTCTTAATGGAACTGAGGGAGGGAGAAAACTGGGCAGATGAGTCGTGGTGGCACCCAAGGACCTGGTGACAATGAGGAATTTCGATGTAGAAGAGAGAGAACTAGTTTCCTAACAAGTTTCCTTGTGCCTTTAAATAGCATGTTGCCAAAGATTTGAGGCCTTTTAAGTGCTTTGCTGGGAAATGCTGCTGTCCTGTGCCGTTGCTATGAGAAGCCTTTATTTGTTTATTGGTTTGGTTTACAAAAGGCACCAGATGTTTAAAAACCTCAGGCCACATGCATAATCAAAATGACATCATTAAAATGCTAACGATAGCAAACCCACTTCAAACACTTTCCCCAGCAGCGAGGGACGCTGGCCTTTTCAAAACCCAAGTGAGTGCAGTACCTTTAGTTTACCCACTAAAAATGTTTGCCATCTATCTCAGTATTTTTTTTCTTCTTCACTCCTCTTGAATTTTCCCTGAGGTAGGAATTCAAACCTTAGCCCATGAAGGACTTGAGCCTACCCTGGGTCTCCTGATTCACAAACAAAAATTTAGGTTTGCTATAAAACCTGTCTTTATTCTTTTCATTTCCTTGGGCTTGCCAAAGAAAATCAGATATATTTGTTCATTATTTAGTTGTCTGTAAGTCATTCAGATCTATCTGTGTCAGAATCTCTTTCGTGGATTACAACTATGTAGAAGGAAGTCTTGTTTTTAATCAATTTCATTCCAGCAAGATACAGAGTACTGCTTGGTTAAGATTAGACCATATGAAATTGAATATTCAACCATTTTTTTACCTACAAAACAGGCAATTTTATATGATTCAACCTAATATATTTAGGATACACAGTGGCAGAGCAGAGAAGTGCCGAGACAGATCCTTAACAGGTCTTCTTTCCTGAGACTTTCCAGTAACCAGGTTCCGAGGAGAAAAATCAGTTGTTCTTTCCACCCTGACGTGGAGCGGAGGCCGCAGCCTTTTCTTAGGTCTCGCCTACACAGTGACCGGAGCCGTGACGTGGCTGGCCACCTTTTCCATGATGGCAGCTCACCTGATGCTGAAAGAAAGGAAAATGTTCTTCTCCCAGCAGTAACGTCAAGCTTTAGAAAGAAAAGCAGAAAACACAGAAATGGACAGTGAAGTAACAGAGCCAAAGATCTCTGACAAAAGGGGGGGTGGGGTGGGATGGGGGGAGAGCATAATGATGTATAGTAAAATGTCCTTGGAATGGGGAAGATAAATCATCCTTGAGCTCAAAACCAAGTCTCAGGCATTTGTTTGACACCCTTGTGCCTGAAGCAGGTGACTGCCTAGGACAGCGCCATCACCAGACAAGACTAAGGAAGGACGCCTGGCGCCCCCAAGAGGAGGTGACTCCTTTTAACCTTCAATCAGACCCAGATGGTGAGTCGTCATTGGCAGGTTGAAATTCTTCCAGACTTCCCAACAACAGTTGTTGTGCGTTGAATTGAGCAATTAGGATGATTTTTGAAAACTGATTTATTCAGTGTTCTCTCCTTTCTATGGAGTCAAAACTGTGTTCTCTCCGCTAAAGATAAACCAAGCAAAGGTTATGGCAGAGCCCTGAGCACCCAAAATACAGCAATACACCAAAAAGAAAAGCCAGAAAATTCCCTCAAGTTATCCATGTAGCCAAGAAGGAAGAACTGAATGTGACTGATTGCCTTAAAAACTGTCCTCAGCATTTGAGGGTGCAGAACAATTCTAGAACTTATATTGGGATGACGTATTCTAGAATGCAAATGATGACATGGATTCATGATGCTAGAATTATGTGTGTGGAGGGGGCTTCTTAAGATCTACCTTAAAAGATCTGAATTCCTGCTCAAGGTCACGTACAGAAGAAGACTGAAGGAAGAACTCAGTACAGCTGCCAAGGCAACAGGCCCCACGAGTCTGAGCACCCAGATGACCAGAATATTACACCTTTAAAAACATGTGTGTATTATTTTATTCTTTGAGGTGGGGGAAGCTTTACTCTGTGATGGCTCGAGGAGCAGAATTTTTATTGTTCAAGAAAAATATAGCACCAACACGTATTTGTCTCTTTAGCAGCAAAGAAAGCATTTCTTTGTTGCATCTTTCTGCATTCACCAAATAGTAGAGTACTTTCCAAATAAACAAAATGGTTTCAAGTACGAGCTCTGAAATCTTGGATCCCTCCTGTGTCTCACCTTCCATCTGTAACCAGTGACCTCTGGTGACCAGGTGTGGAGGGCTGAATAATGCCCCCCCACCCCCACAAAGATACTCAAGTCCTCATGCCCACAACCTGTGAGTGTTACTCATACGTCAAAAGAGACTTTGCAGATGTGATTCCGTTAAGGATATGGATACGAGGAGGTCATCCTGGATTATGTTGGTGCGCCCAACGCAATCGTAAGGGTCCTTATGAGAGAGAGGCAGGGATCAGAAAAGGAGAGACATGGCAACAGAAGCCAGAGGTTGGAGTGGTGCCAGGAGGGGCCATGATCCAAAGAATGGAGGCAGCCTCTGGAAGCTGAAAAAAGCAAGAAACAGATCCTCCCCTGCAGCCTCCAGAAGCCCTGCTGACACCTTGATTTGAGACTTGTGACCTCCAGAACTGCACGAGAAGACATTTGTGTTGTTTTAAGCACTGAGTGTGTGGTAGTTTGTTATAGCAGCAATTGAAAGCTCATAGACCGGGGTTGGCGCTGCTCTAGTCATCTGAGCTGCTGTTGTTTCTCCAGCTTAAGGGACCTGCCCAGGGCAGAGGGCTAGGAAGGAACAAAGCTCACAAATGACCAGGCCCAGGGACTCCAGATCCTGGGCCCTCACCCCTTGAGGCCACATTCCTCAGTTACCGTGCGGACTGGAAAAAGGCGTGACCACACTTGCTACATCTCAACCTTGTTTGTCAGCGCGTAGGATGCTGTAGTAATCGGGGTTCTCCAGAGAAACAGAACAGTAGGGGGTGTGTGTGTATAAAGAGATTTATTGTAAGGAATTGGCTCGTGTGCTTGTGAACGCTTGGCAAGTGCAAAATCTGAGGGGGGAGGCTAGCAGGCTGCAGGCTCGGGAAAGGGTTGCAGTTGCAGCCAAAAGGCATCTGCTGGACAACCAGATGAGGCCAGAGGTCTGTCCACTGGAGAACGCCCTCTTGCTCAGGGAAGATCAGTCTTCTGTTCTATTCAGGCCACCAGTTGATTGGATGAGACCCACCCACATGAGGGAGGACAACCTGCTTGACTCGGTCAACCCACTGAAATATAAATCCCATCCCCAAACAGCCTCACAGACACATCCAGAATAATGTTTGACCAAATCTCTGGGCACCACGGCCCGGTCAAGCTGACACATAAAATGAGCCATCACAGAAGGCATCTGCATTCACCAGGTCGTCAAGACATTTCCAGAAAAGTCCTCCTCATTTCTCTCTGCACTAGGGTTGGCTCAAGGGAAAGGACCTATACAAACATGAGTTTATCCACAACAAACTAAACCATTCAAGAAAAACAAGTGGCTGGAACGTCTGACAGAATGAAGATGTGTAGTTCCTTTTTCCTGCTTCTCCACGAGTTGACGAGCCCAAAGCGGTTTACCCTGCAATGAAGTCTGGAGCCGGCCTCCTCCTCCCTGTTCAGGGGAGAGCATCGTCACTCGGTTAGCCCCCGGCCCACAGTGGAGCTGGGCTTTGCGGTTATCTTTCTCTCCCCCTCCTCCCACCATCTTGCTCTTGTCTTCTTCCAATTTTCTAATCTAAATCCACTTTTCTAATTTCTAAACCCCACTTTTCCATCCTCGTGCTTTTGTGTGCTTTTGTGAAAGGTTGGAGAAACTGGTGCTAGTCTACTCTTTCTCCAGCTCCTGGCAACACTTCTGGAGAGAGAAAAGGCAAGCGTGAGATCAAGAGAGACAAAGAACAAAAATGAGAATCAGTGGGAGCTGTGAGTGTGTGTGTGTGACTGTGTGGAAGCTGTCCTGGGTCTCGAGGGGCTTCCATTTAGGTGTGCATCCTAAGTGCATGGGCACAGACGGCAGATATGAAATCGGGTGGGATGAAATTAGGGGGGAATAAAAGTGTAGAGCTGACCTTTATTTGAAATTTGCCAATTAAGCCCCTACCTCATGTGACAAATTCACAGTGCTGAGGACACCAGAATGAGCCAGCTGGGGCCCCTGCCCTCGAGGGACTCATCTCACATGGACCTTTGTGTCCTTCCCACACACTTGCACTTGCCCACATAGTTGAGTGTGAGGCCCACACTCGCCTCACGTAGGTTTCTTGGTTTCCTGCGTGTCCATCTGGCCTCCCTGAAGGAACAGAGTGCTCCCTCAGGGCTGCACCAGGCTTCCAGCTCCCCCGAGTGACCCCAGAGCACCGAAGTCCACGGGTGTTCACGGTGATAACACCCTCCTGACTCAGACTCAACAACGTCCTCCTTCCCAGCCTGCACCGCGGCCTTCCTGATGGAGGCTGGTTTTCCATCTGGTTGGTTTTGTGGTAGAGGCCTTATTAACCAAATGTGAATAAAAGAAAACCAGCTTCAGACAGCGGCTGGTGGTTTTCCTTTGCAGTATGGCCAACAGGATCCCACAGTGCCACAGCGTGTGGTTGTCAGCATTTTTGTCCCTGGATGTTCGTAAGTGGTAGGTCTGCAGTGCAGTTTCTCCTGGCTTCTCCCTGGGTGTGACACGGGGAAGCCCACTGCCCCTCTTGGAGCCGGGGAGCCACTCAGGCTCTCCGCTGGGGTCGCTCCGTCAGGACTGGCTCAGCGTCCATTGCTAAATCAGCCAAGGGTTGGCAGAGAGAGTGCAGCCCTTGGAAGTCTTTGATACTATTAACCAGGTTTCTAAAAACTGCTTTCTCCTTTCACCTGTTTGCAGGGGGAGTATTTCTTTGGCACTTCTTAGTCAAATGCATTTTAGGGTGAGCCCTGGCCCCTTTTTTATCTCCCCCACCCCCCAGCCTTAACATAACTCTCTGGTAAGAAGATTAAAAGAGAAGGAGGTGAAATTATGAGACTTGAACTGCAGTGACTCAGCAGCAAGAGGAGCTCATTTAGGGGGAAAAGCCTTTCCTGCAAAGGATCAGTGCAATATCCCCACTCTGAGCCTGTGGGGGTCCAGCAGTGATTCAGAGCCACCCCCACAGATGGAGGGACTCTTCAAAGGCTGGGGAGTGAAATGCTGTCTTGTAACACATCTTCCTCTTTTGATTAGCGTGCAGCATGTGTCCTTCTTCCAGAGGCAGGATCCAGTTTTCTTATTCATTCTCACCGCAGCTGGAACGGAAAAACTGAAGTCATCGCTCTGGTGGCAAGAAGCATCTTGTGGTGCTCACAGAGCCAGCAGCCGGGACAGACAGGCACGGCGCCTGCTGCCCCTCTTCTCTGTGGAGAGAGCGTCACTCCCCTGAAACATGATTTTTAGTGCAGGCTAACATTGCAACAATGACTTATACCCTGTTGATGTTTTTCTTTTTTGTTTATAATGATTTCTCAGTTTCTTATTTATAATCAACATCTCTGGACTGCCATAAAAACGGACTCCTCAGTCTGAGGTCAGGAACTCTCTAGAGAGATCAGGGAGATTCCAAATGGCTTGTGGAAACTAGGGCTGCAGAACTCCAAAAAATGGGGTGGGGAGGGGAGAGAGAAGCAGGGCCTTTGTTTAGGGAAAGTGAGCAAAAGTTCTGGATTTCTATCTTTCTTCTAAAGCTGAAATATGAAGAAGGAAACCTGAGGAGAGAAAGAAAAATGAAACAAAGAAATGAGGATGGAGCCCTTTATGTGCCCAACCCGGCCAGACCTGCCTTCCCGGTACACGCGCCTTCCCCGCTACACGTGTCTTCCCCCCTACAAGTGCCTTCCTGGTTAGACGCGCCTTCCCCCGGTAGACGCGCCTTCCCTCGTTAGACGCGCCTTCCCC